AAGTTAACGACTTGTTTACTGGGCGTTTTTCTGCCGTTTCCATAACGTTAACGCGCCGTTTTTTGTGTTGACCGTTTACTGGAGATTAACTGGCCGTTAACGGGCCGTTTTTTTGGACCTGGGCACTGTTGCGTCAGAAAAAAAGAACAATGGCCAGTTAGCTATTAATGATGGTGGCACCATACTAACGGTTGCTTCAGCTTTCATATAAAAATTTGGAAAAGCGGGTTTTTATGGTCATACAGTTCATGTCCCACTCTATAATAATAACCTTAAGCGGTTTGTCGAAAAAAGGGAGAACACGTGGTAAAATTCATCGCGATGCTAATCAATTCGCACGGAGAATGGCGCCTAATCTGATAATTTTGCTGGGAGAGTAAAAGTCATTCTTCTCGGGTTCTGCATCAGCTATGAAGTCAAAAAGACAGTTTCTTACGTAACTTGACGTACTCTATAAAACTAGACTGGTTTTAAATGAAGCGGAAAAACTTTTGTAAAATGTGGGATACAGATGGATTTGCCCATACCTAAGTTAGAGAGATAAAACTTAAATCTCTCAGAATAAGCTAACGTCATGCCTTTAAGGATTTTTTCTCTTTGAACTCAATCTCAAAGTAAAAAAGAAAGAGAAGGCAACTTACCTATCTAAATTTGGCTGCTATTGATATAATATAAATGATGGAAAATATAAAAATACACAAATAATAAATAAGTAAACAAATTCGTCTTAACGCGTTTTAAGATGTACTAAAACGTGTTTCTTGTGTTTTAAAGAGCTCCCTATATCTATAAAAAATTCTAAGCTATCTCCACCCACTAGAACTTTTAAATAATTTCAAATTAATTTAAACTAATATTTTTCGAGATTTAAAGGAATTTGAGCGGGTTGTTTTTGGTCTTCTAATTGGACGCTGTTGGACAGCTAATAAAATTATCCATAATGTTCCTTTCTAAATGGGGGAAAGTGCATAAAATCACTTTGATTAAGATTCATGACTCGCAAAAGTTTCAAGACGTTTTAAGTGAGATGTCTGCCACGAATGTTAAATCTTTTCTTGGAGTGAAACTCGCTTATCTAACAAAAACAGAAATTACTTCCAACTTCGACTTCTTTCAAAATGCGTTTCTTGCAATTCCTCCCGTAAATTTTTTCAAAAAAAAAGACAGAAACGAACGTAATTTCATTCAAACGCGAGAGCCGGTGTCTTGTACTTTCTTCGAAAACGAAAATCGCAATTCCCACAAGAACATAAGGACTTTGTTGCGTTTTAGTACTCTGAAAAAGTAACAGTACTCTTTTACTTGCAGAAAAACGAAATCTGCTTGTTACAAAAGCGAGAAATTAAAGTAATTCAAACTCGAAGCGCAACTTTCTACAAGTGTGGAACATAAAACGTGACACACAGTGATGAATAATTGCGTTCAAAATGCATTTTTCACTCACTTATTTGATACAGAAACACCTAATTTTGCGACTTCAGTCTACGAAACGAGTTTTACGTTTCAAAGAAACTATTTTATAAATTTTGAAAAAGTTAAACGCGTTTTTCAAATTTCATTTCTAGCTAAAACGCGTTAAGTTAAAATAAAATGAAAAGTTTGTTAATAAAGAAACCTCAATTTATCATAATAATTCAAATTCAAATATTAAAAATTTCTCCATTTATCTTCTCTTTCTTTTTAATGATTTTAGATATATTCATCATCTATTTAAGATCATGTCCAGAGAATTAATTATCGATTATGTTGTTGAGATTTTACGTAATGTAGGATTTGATGAACAAACAATACGTCCAACGAAACAAAAATAAGGCCGCCTGATTCGCAGCCGAATGATGATGATGATAATACGTCAGACATTATTGCTGATAGATGACGGAAGATTATCTGAAATAACATTAAAGTATTTAGGTTTTGATTTAACAAATACTGGTCAGTTGAAAAAGAAGGAAAATGTACACTTCAGTGACTCTAGTTAACCTTTTAAGGAGACAAAGATTACAAATTTCTCTGTTTATCTTCTCGTTCTTTTTAATGATTTTAGATATAGTCATCATCTACTTATCATATCCAGAGAGTTGATTATCAATTATGTTGTTGAGATTTTATGTAATGTGGGAGTTGATGAACAAACAATACGTCAGACATTGTCGATTATAGCTGACGAAAGGTTATCCGAAATAATGGTAAAGTATTGGGATTTTGATTTAATAAATACTACTAGTAGTCAGTCGAAAAAGAAAGAAACTAAATCAGAATTAGATGATTCTAATAATAATAAACTATAGTTGATGAATGGTGATCAAACAATAGAACAATTAAAAAGCATATTTCTAATATCAGATCAACATGATCGTGAAGAACAAATTATATCATTTAGTCAGATGTATTTTCACATGTATTGAAAAGCTTGAAAAACAAAATATTATTCTCAATAATCAATTACTGAAACAAGAAGAAGAGATACGATCGTTACAAAATGAAAAGGTTAAATATAAACGAGAAATAGTTGTATCATCAACATTTGACAATGTAATGAAGGTACTGATTAATAAATATAATACATGAAGTGTTCCATTAATGTTACTGCACAATAGTCATACAACAAATGCAATTAAAACATATAAAACTCCATAACTTATTTATCATATATTAACAAATACATATTCATCTTTACATTGTTCATATAGTCAAATTCAAAAGCTTAGTACTTCTGATTAAACACCAACAGAATATGACATGGAATTGGAAATGCCAGGACTTTAAATAAATCAACTCATACGCTTCAGTGAGACAAAATGCTTCAAAAAATATTTCTAAATCATTAAAACGTTTTGTCATACATAGATCGATTCTAGTACACCTACTATAATAGAGAATAAACCAAGATTTTTGTGGAAGAAAACGTTGCTGTATCAGTAGAAGTGATATTTAACTGAGTTTCTCTTGTAAATAACTTTTAAAAATCTTAAAATTAACGATGGCTCATCGAATTAATCATTATCAACAAAAATTAGCTGAAGAATTGACCATATTGAACGATTGTGAAACTGGGATGTTGACAAGAATATTTAACATAAAAAAGTCTGCTTTGTATTTACAAAAAAAACACCTTTTGGCAACTAAATGAGAATATGTTACTTTTTTTAGGCATGCGCTGAAACAAAATCTAAGCCATCATTTTTACTCGATAAAAATCTTGAATCTGTTCTTCAACAAAGACAAAAAAAATTTCCAGCACTGGATAAAGGAAAAAAATTATCATTTTCATTTGTTAATTAAACTAATTCATATTTTCTTATTTTAGAGTCAATTTCAAACGTTAACATCAATTAAAACGGAAATAATCAAATGACTGGCAATTTATTACTTTACATTTGTCAATTTATTAGAGTTTCGGGTATGGTTAAAATGTTAAAGTTCGACTACTCTAGAAATAATGCTGAAATTTTGTGTATTATACCCTAGGATCATGTGACAGATTTGTTAACAACAATTGACGCTTGTGAAGTTCATTTTGATATTGTAAGCGATAGAGGGAGCCATAGTGACCATGTTTCAAACTATATATATTTTTCTTTTGTTCATTTATTTAAGCTCTAAATTGTAATTTTACAAAAGCCTATCTGGAATTAATATCTACGTATATTTCATTAATGATTTTACTATCACGTATTGATGATCGAAAAATTGTTCTTGGATTATATAATGCCGCCACCGATTTAACACATGATCATAGTGATTCGAGTTTTCCTCAATTGGGTCAATTAATTATTGATTATGATCAACCACTGGAAAAATTACACGACGAATTTGTTCCCCATAGTCGTTCGATAGGTGAATCTGTTCAGTCATTAACACCAATATATGAGCGTCGTACATGTATCTGAATGGCGTTCAAAAAACATTACTTGGTCTCATATCATCATCAACATGTTCTCATTTAACGGATACATCTGAAACATTAACATGCGATTATCTTTCACAAGACTTAATGGAACGATAGATTATCTAATCGATGATTATTTATCCACAACAATTAATAATAAATGGGAAAATGTTATCAATTATTCGAGAAAGCATTATCAAACGGATTTGTTCATGTTTTATATCGTAATAAATTTTAATGACACATCAATATTTGAATAATAATTCAGACATATACAAACAATACAGACAGTTATAGTTAACAGAATTATTAAATGATACGTTTAAAAAAGCGATTAATGAACAACCATTATACAGACGCGAAAGAAGAAAATACATCACATCACAACTACAGTAAAAGAATTAGCGTTAATCTTTGCCGATACTCCTGCATTGCTAGGTAAATGTAATAATCATCTAAACATTTTTTACTTATGGTTGAGTTTAATATATTTTATTTTAGGTCCAAAAATGCTAACATTATGTGTTGGTTTGAGTCTGGCACGTAATGAAATCCTTTGATTACTTCGTCATAGCGAAAATTATCCAGTTAAATTACAAAAAGAAAAGAAAACAACAACATCAACCGGTACATCGAATAGAGATGATTATAATGTTTGAACATTTCCAGAATTTTTATTCAATATTGGTAAGTTAAATGAAAATTCTTTATCAATTTGTGAATGTAGATATCTCTTCTTTTTTTTAGAAGAGTTACGTTAACATTGACGTTAACATGACATCAGTAATCAAACAACATTATTAAAAACTAGAAACTAATAGCTAATATAGATCACTAAGCTGATATTTTTCTTAACTTTACAATGCGCTGAAACCCATCGAAACAATCTAATTTGACTTTTGACTATTCTAAGTATTTTTGGTACTAAAGAAACATACAATAAATTAACGCATACATCACACATCACTGCTGATTGCTGATCATTTGAAAGTCGTTTTGCAGAACAGAAAATTCTCTATGGAATGATTCTGGAACAAAATCTTAGAACCTCAGTTAAGGGCCTGGGAAAAAAGAGAACAAAAGTGATCCAGTATTTCTGCGCTACCCGATAAGTTATTGCGCATGTTGAATTTTGACTCTCGTCGAGCCTCGAGAAATTCAGTGTAAACTGAGTATCAGAAGTTTGATCATAAAAAAAATTTGCTCATGAATAATCGGAAATTCGTATAAATTAAAATAAAACATCATGCTGTCATTTGATGAATCAGTCACAAGTCTTCATTAAAGGAAAGTTAATTTATTAAATAGTGGTCCACTTTTGTGCCATCAACTGTAATGTAGGTTAATTGAAAAACAACAAAACATTTTTTCTACGCATGTAGATTTCTTTCTCAATAGAATACATTCAATCTATCAGGTTGGCAACAAAGTCTTTGCGTTTTTTTTTAAATTTTCTAAAACATTCGAGAAACTTCTAGAACTTTCCATACGAAGGATATATAAAGGAGATACACATATCTTCCAATCAACGATAAAGCTATACAGTGCGAGACAAAAGTTTCGCCCGCAAACAAACTCGTTCATCTACACATAGCAAGAATACAAGGAAAAGTGATACCATTATTATACATAGTACTCACTGGCAATCCATTATTCATATTCAGCTTGGCTATTTCT